TACACTACATCCATGCAACAGCTTTCTTTTTACTGAACATTGACTACATGCATGTGTCCATTTCATAAAATATGCTTTATTGTATTAAGAAATAAAACACATTTCTTACATTCTATGACTTAAATATTCAGCTTACTGTACTGGCTTTGAGTTAATGTCACGCAGACCATGTACAATGTAATAGAAGCATTGGAAACATTTCTTGAAAAATAAGAATACAATCAATGAGCACACTTCACAGAATTTTACATGGTCACACAGTTTGCACATTTAAAAGGACCTGAATCATTCATATTAATATTGTGAATTTCTTATAAATAATTCATTAGTCTAAGGAGTCTGGGCAAAGCCAAGCCATGACATTGTTTATACTAAGTACCACACCTGGAATTTGTTCTGACTTCTTTAACACAGAGCACATTTTTGATACAATAAATATTTACAGTTAATAGTAACAAGTACAATTATAATTTACAAAATATAAGTCTAATATTTAAAACAAAACAGAAAATGACATAAAGAAGTTTGTGCCATGTATTTTTACAACTCACCAAATCAACCCTTTCAACAAATTTTATTACCCCAAACTCTGCCAACTTGGATGCAAGAAAGGTTATGTTCAAATCAGTCAAGGCCAGATTACAGAGGGGAAAAAATTGTTTTTAAATCAATTTTACTTTCTTAATATTATTCATTATCAATATCAATATGTCAATAGCACTAGCTAAAACTGAAGCAAATTGATGAAAAATTTGGATTCAAAACAGTCCCAAATTATATGTGTACCTTGCACACTGAAATCTCGAGTTATACCAAAATTTTCAAACTCGTCTGGGAATTAATGAGGTGTTGAATGTGTGAAGTTTTACTGTCCCATTAAAATGATCCTTTTGAAAGACCATAAAATTATGTAAGTCCTTCCATGTCATTCTATGGCTCTGGGAATGAATTTTAAATTTAGGGAACAAAAGAGGAATAATCTTATCTTCCAGAATGTGAGCTCTGAATGGGCAGACAGTGGTTTCTGGGTTTGTAACAGAGCACTAAGTCCATACCTGAACTCGGATTTTAGTCCAGGAGACATTTTTCTGTTAAAGGCTATTCACGTAGCCTGGGTCTCCAGGCTCAGGGAAATCATCTGCTATCATGTCTTACTGGGTTTTTGGGGGGAGGGGGGAAGGCGGGGTGATGGGGGATCAA